ATGTATTTTTTATGTATATGTAATATTGTGTATTTGTTTTTTATCCTAATGTAATCTTTTAAAAAGCAATTTTTATTAATTAATTTGTAAACAAAGACTTACAAAAATAATTGTTCTCAATGAAGTTATTAATAATCATCAAAGTTAATAAAACTAATTATGTAACAAACATATAAGAGGTTTCTGGTTACTAAACATAAACAACGCATACAAAGTAACTCGCGGATGAACAAGCACTGCACGTGAGGTCACGATAGAGCACAATTATATATAGCAAGTTATTAGATATAAAGAAAAGTTTCTAGATATTGGTTTACTAACTCTAATTATTTTCGCTTCAGTTGCCATTTATAAAAACTCGTTATACTCTTTTCTGCTTTAAATACTAATTAAAATTAAAAGGTCTACTCACTAAACATCAGCGATATTGTGTAGCAGTTTCTCTTCCTCATCATAAAGTATTTTTAACCTTTTTAGTTGATTTCGATCTAGTTGATTTAATTTCTATAGTAGTTCAATGATTTAATTATTTCATTTGTTCATCTTACTAACAAGAATTGTTTTAAATATGTTAAACTTTTCAAACTATGCGAAGCATAAAATAGGTATTAAAAAAATTAACTTTTTTATTTATAAAATAATTTAGCTTAGATAAAACTAAAACTTGCGTTAGTTTTATAAGAATCTTGTAAGACTTTTCAGGACCGGGGGCTATTTTTATTTTGGATGCTACAGCGTAAAAATGACTAAACAAAAAGGTCTTCTTGACTTTTTTGGGGCTCTAACATTGCGAGGCCCGGGTCTATAGTACCCTTTAACCCCAACCCTCTTTAATCTAGCACTGGAAATAAGACACAACTATATAAATAAAAATTATATTACACTCTTTGTTAAATAAAGAATATAAATTTGTTACCATTTTAAACAATCGTAAGATGTTACTTTATGTAAAAAAGCGTTGCTTAACTTTATCAAAAAATTATAAAAGAGCGATGTTTCGAAAATATTTGTTCTAAACGGAATTTATTTTGCTTTAAGTTTTTTTCACATTAAAAGATATTTTAATTTTTCTAATTTTTTTTCTTTTTTTGTAATTATCTCTCATCAGTCCAATTAATCTTTAGCGCATTTTTTTTTTTGCTTTTTGAAGTGTTCCTAAAGTGACTAAAAAATCTGGCCAGTTTTTTGCAACTAAATATTACTTCTGTGCTCAGTAATCGAGAGCGCTCGCCCCCATTTCCCAACCAAACCTATATATATATATACATATATATATATAGTCTTGCATGTCTCTTGCGTAGCATCAAAAAATATTTCCCATAAACTGTAGTTTTAAAGAGCGCGTTAATAAACCAGACCAGAAAAAGTTTTAAAAATTAAATTTTTATTTTTAATTGATAGACTGCCTGGCCAAACCAAACCCTCAGTCGATGTAGCAGCACTCTCTTGCGAGTCAGGCTATTTGTCAGTCGTTGTAGCAGCACTCCATTGCGAGTCAGGCTATTTGTCAGTCGATGTAGCAGCATTCCCTTGCGAGTCAGGCTATTTGTCAGTCGATGTAGCAGCACTCCGTTGCGAGTCAGGCTATTTGTCAGTCGATGTAGCAGCACTCCGTTGCGAGTCAGGCTATTTGTCAGTCGATGTAGCAGCACTCCGTTGCGAGTCAGGCTATAAGATAGTCGATGTAGCAACATTTACGCATGTTTAAAAAATGTTTTTTATTAAATCAATAACAAAAACACCACTAATTAAAAAAAACTTTCTAGTCGTTATAATTGCGGTTTTTTAAAAATTTTTTAAAAAACAATTAAATTTAATGTACTTCCGCATAAATTAATTGCTTTGACATTTCGATGACAATCAAAAACAGCTTAAGAGACGAGGTAATTAAAATTGTAGTCGTAAGAGACTTTTTTTACATTAAAATGCTCTTAAAGCGACACTATATGAGTATATATATATATATATATATATATATATATATATATATATATATATATATATATATCAATAACAATATATGTTTTTATTTTAATTTAAAAGTGTTTAGAAAAAATTAAGTTTTCATAGTTGTTTGATCCACGCTTAATTACTTCGAAACTTAATTATTTTAAAAAAAGTCAGTTAGTAGGGTTTAAACCTTTAAATATAACTGTGCCTCATAAATGTTGTAATTAATCAACCTACGCTACATCAATGTGGCATTATAAGAAAAATTAAAACTAATAATTCAAAATTATTAATTTTAACGTTTTTAAATTAATTAAGCTCATTACAGCTTTATATCTTAGTTAGTTTATATATAATTTGGTTCTTTCAGCGCAATTTTTAAAACACGCAAGTTATCTATATATGCAAAAAAAAATCCGGATGTAATCGAGATATCATTATAAATCTTAGCACCCATGTAATAATCGTATTTATAGATTATTTTGAAAATTCAAGATTTTTTAGGTAGAATAGGATATTGTTGTTTCTTGTAATTTTTATATCATTATTTATAAAAGCATTTTATATATATATATATATATATATATATATATATATATCAGGCTTTCACAGAAGGCGTGCGATTTCACGTCTTTATATAATCACGCAAAAAATAATATGTTTTAACGATTTGACCACGGCTTTTCATAATTTAAAAATGCGCTACAAAAACTTACCTAAACTAATCTAAAAAAAAATTGTAAAAAGAATAAAAATTCTAACGAAAGAGAAAAGAAAAAAATACTTAGTTAAAACAAAAACACAAAAAAATAAATATATATACAACCCAACTAAAACAAAACTCATTAAACTAAAATGCTTGAAAAAAAAAAAGTCTATTTAATTTATGCATTAAAAAACCATTTCAATCTTTGTTTTAACATTTGTACTTTTTTTTTAAATATGTTTCAAAGATAAACATTTCTCATAAAAAATACATAATTATATAAATAAGAAAACAATACTTTATTAATATTTATTTGAAAAATTAATTAGAAGTGTTTTGTTACTTCATTGAAAAGCGTTTCGATAATTTAAAACTTCGATAATATAAAAGATCTTATCTTAATCTAAGAACTTATTTAATTGTAACAGCTTTTTAAAACTTTTAAAACTTTTTTTTCAACGAAGTTTTGTTTATCTTTTTAAATGTATTAACTTTAATCTTTTATTAAAATTGGTTAAAGAGACTTTTGTAGTCGTAGAATGTCATCATTTTAAAACAAAACAATTTTTTAATTTTTAATAAAGTTTATCATAAAAATGCATACTTAAACAATTTATATGTTATAAATTAAAAAAAATATATACAACTGTCAATTATATTAAAAAAAAAAAAAAAAAACATTATCAGTAAATTGATACTTTATTTAAAAGCGTTTCGCTAATATAAAAACATTTGTTAAGAAGTTTTGATGTAAATAGTTTCACTTTTTCAGAATATTTTTTATTAGCGTGTTTTTAAAATGTTTTTTGAATTAGCCACGGTCAAATCGTCATAGCAAAATGTAAATTGCCTGGTCATATAAAGACATGAAATCGCATGCCTTCTGTGAAAGCCTATATATATATATATATATATATATATATATATATATATAATATATATATATATATATATATATATATATATATATATATATATACACATACATATACATATACATATACACTTAATAAAGCGTGTTTTGATAAGCATTTGCTAATTTTTTTGCTTACCTTAGGCTATACTGTTTTTTTCGAAAAAGAAACAGAAAAAATTAAGAATGATGAATAAAACTATTGCTTTCCCATCCCAAACCCTCAGTCGATGTAGCAGCACTCCACTGCGAGTCAGGCTATTTGTCAGTCGATGTATGTACTGAAGCCCCCAGCAGCAGGCTATTTCAGTATGACGTCAGATTGCTTACCATAGTACACAATACTATTTGTATATATATATATATTTATATATATATATATATATATATATATATATATATATATATATATATATATATATATATATATATATATATATATATCCTTATAGTGTGGTCGAAAGAGACTTTTATGGTTAAAAAAGTCTCTTTCGACTACAATTTTTATTACCTCGTCTCTTAAGCTGTATTTGATTGTCATCGAAATGTCAAAGCAATTAAATTAATGCAGAAGTACATTAAACTTTATTGTTTTTTAAAAAAAACCGCAATAATAATGACTAGAAAGTTTTTTTTAATTAGTGGTGTTTTTGTTTTTGTTTTATTAAAAAACATTTTTAAGACATGCGTAAGTGTTGCTACATAGACTATCTTATAGCCTGCTGCTACAAGCGAGTGTTGCTACATCGACTATTTTAAAGCCTGACTCACAACAGAGTACTGCTACATTGACTGACAAGTAGCCTGACTCGCAAGGGAGTACTGCTACATCGACTGACAAATAGCCTGACTCGCAAGGGAGTGCTGCTACATCGACTGAGGGTTAGGTTTGGGCAGGCAGTCTATCATTTAACATTTTTATTTAACATTTTCTGGTCATGCTTATTAACGCGCTCTTTAAAACAACAGTTTATGGGAAAAACTTTGTGACAACCATGCAAGACTATATATCTATCTATATATATATATATATATATATATATATATATATATATATATATATATATATATATATATATATATATATATACACACACATATATGGCTGTCATGTTAATTCCAAATTATAGAGTTCAGAGCTAAATAGACAGAAAAAAAAGTCAGGTGTACCAGCTGACAGTCATTTACTTGAGCAAATTTGTTGCAGGATTTTATTTTAATATCATGCAAGAAAAAAATTTCATGATTAAAATACAAGAATAAAATTAAACCTAAGAATAAAAGCTTTTTTTTATTCACCCGGCCTATTGGTCAAATGATTATATAGTTTAAAATTTTTGAAAAAAAGTTTATCAATCTTTTTATTTATTCTGTTTATTTATGGTTTTTGTTTTTGTTTTTTTAATTGAATTTATTTTTTCAAATATATAGTCCTTCACTTGGCATTTGTTGTGATCCAAATACATGTAGACCCTATTCAACAAAAGTACTTTGTTTGCAACAAACTGATTGCGCTGAAAATTCATACTGTCTGTATCTTTTCAATTGTTTTTTTTTTTTTTTTTTTTTTTTTTGAAGCATTAAAATCTCTTCACAAAAAGTTTTAAAATAAAAAGTTTTTTATAATATATAGTTTTATTGGACCAGGTCTTTTGTCCCATTCATTAAAAACTACTCATTGAATGGGACTACCATTAGGGAAGCCTAGATGGCTATGCATATTAGTAAATGGAGTGTCATGAGTCTTCCATGACCAAGTAAAACGCTAAATCAAAGCATCAAATCTTTTCAGTTGTATTTGTGTATTTTGCAAGTAATTTACTGTTGTTATCTTATAAGCACGTAATTTGTTTTTTATCTTATAGACACATATTTTAGACACTGGCATAAATCAAAATTATATATTAGAGTTTTTTTTTCTTTCCTTTTAATTTTTTTTTTTTTTTTTTGCTTTATGTTATCTTTGCCAATTTTAAAATATTTCTTGTTTTAAAAATGTTTTTAACTTTTTATTTTTTTATTTTTGCTGTTTTTTAATATAATTTTTCTTAATAAGTCTCAGTTCTACTAACTACACTTGCCCAACCCCTCAACCTGCTCCTAATTTTAAACTATGCAACAGCAATACACGTGTTTGTTTAAATGGAGTAAGTGTTTTAAATTATCAATGTTTGATTTTTGGGTATTATCTAAACCCATTTATAAATACATGGGTTAATCTTTTGGTTTTATATAATTGTATGTTTGTTAATGAATGATATTGTTTGTTTTATTTTGGATTGGATTGCTATCTAATTAAAATTTTTATATAAATGTGTGTGTGTGTGTATGATAATGTTTGTTTTGTTTTGGATTGGCTATCCAGTTAAAATTTTTAGGATTGCACTGGATCATTATGTCTGGTTGAACCCATCAACAAAAATGAATGTCAATGTTCAAAAGATGGAGAGTTATGTGATATTTGCTGTCAAAGTAAAAATGATACATCAACATGCAAGTCATTGTCTCAAGACTCGAGTAAATTGCAACTTCCTCCAGGTACTAAAAAACAATGGTTCTCTAAATATGAGTTTTATTTCTTTAAACACAAAGTTTAAAATTTCCAACTTTTATTTAGTAATTTAATAAAAATTTGAAAAAAAGTTTTTATGATTTTACAAATATTATTTATTTTAATTAAAACTTAAAACAAAAATTGATGGTGCAAAAATGATGCTCCTTTATATTGTGCTATTTTTCTTGTGCCATTTTTTTATTCCTGATTTCATTTCTTTTTTAAAATTACTGTTCTTGTTCATATATTGCTGTCATGTTTTGGACTTCTAATAATGCTATTTCCTTTTGGGACAAAAATAAATTGTAAAGCTATTTAGATCTGCTCAGCAGGCTCAGTTTGAGCTTCTGTCAAGTTATCACTAGGTTTCTTTTTTTACATATAATTTCATAATTGCTGTTTAAATAATCATGAAATTGTTTAATGTTAAACAAATATAAACAGGTAAATTTTCTTAATCAAAATTTTTACACTAATGGTATGGTATAAAATTAAGATTTGTTTATTTGTTGATAAAGTTGTTTAATCTTTCGCAACTAAATTATTGAGCATATACAATAAACATGCTCCTATAGTTACTGAAAAGAGTTGTAAATTAAAAAAAAAAATGATCAGCTTCCTAAACTTTAGTGACCCCTCTGGTATCTTAGGGAAGTCCTAAACAAAATATGGTTGAAATATACAATGCAATAATTAAGTATAAAGGTCTAACTGTTTATATATGCAGTTGTAAATGTATTTTTAAAAACATTAGGTTGTATCTAGTTAGGAATGTTTAAACAAAAAGTAATTTTTGCAGATAAACAAGTTTTTCAAAACAAAAAAAATGTTAAAATCATCTATTAAACTACTTGGTAAAAAAAAATTTTCAATTATCAACAGTTGAATTAAGCCTAAATTTTGTAAGTATATAAGATAAATAATATAAAAATAATATAAAGTATATAAAAAAATGTTGAAAACGAAAAAAATAAAACGTTAAAAGTTATTCTTACAGTCAATAAATTTTATTTTGGTTATATTTAAAATAATTTAATAAAAAATTAACTTACATCTTTGTAATTCGGAAATTCAGATATTTTCTATATTTTGCTATCGAAAGACAAAAACAATCATTAAATGTCTAACATAATAAGTTTATTCTTAAACCAGATTTTTCAAGGAAATTTCTGTGTATCACGATTAAATCATTCTGTTGTTTTTTGTTAATGTAAAAAGTGCCATTTTATTTTAACTGATGGATCCATCAGTAATATTTCTACCTGAAAATCAACAGACTATGCTGAGATGATAAGGGTCAAGGCTAGAGCATTATAGAAGAACTTTAAGAAAAAAAGCTTAAAGAAATCAAAGCAAGCTGGATGGTGCATATGGTAAGTTCTTGTAAAATATTTTTACTTTTCTTAGATATCATCAAATGCAGTTTGCATCACAAAAAGCCTTCCAAAGATGAGACAATTGTTTGGAAGTTCCCAAGTAGTAAAGCAGTTGACTCTAATAGACAAACCTTACCTCAAGGAAATGGTGGAGCATTTGATTCCGTAAAGAGATCCCTAAGTGCCATGACAAGTTGTGTTCATATTAAAGAGAATGATATTAAAAAAAAAGTTTAGGATGAATTTTTTTTGAGTGAAACAAAATGTTAAATGTATTCCAAGAAAAACAAACTTTGTTGTTTTACTCAAAGCTTGCCGTCTCTATGCTTTTTTACTTGCAGCCGTCTCTGCAAGCCGCTGGAAGCAGCTTTCGACTATACTTACAATTTATCTTGATACATAAAATTTCACTCTTTTTTTCTAGGAAAATTTTTTCTAGACATAAAATTTGTTTGTTCTTAAGGCTTAATTCTCTATATAATCAAGAACAATTAAGAACCATATTGTGTTATTATAAAAAGTTATCACTTGACCAAGTTAAAAAATCTTGAGTAATCCTTGATTTAAAAAAAACTTCTTTAAATTTAGTTCTAAAATAAAGCAGCATTAACACTGTAAAATTTAACTTGTAGAAGTGTACTTGTAGAACTTGTAGAAGTGTTTAGCTAAGTAGTACTAAAGTCATTTGAAGAAAAACATTCTTTTGGTGCATTAAATGAGTTTTGTTTTGAACATTAATAGTAACTAAAACACTTAGTGTTTTACTATTTATAAAAACAATTGTTTAGGCACTTTGCATTTCTTATTGTTTAATGATGCGTCGTAAAAATCTTGTTTATTTGAAAAGTTCATTTGTTTAGCTTTCTATTGATAAATAGTTTTTATGCTTTTAAAGAGGTTTTACTATTCAATTTTTAATTAGTTACCAATGTTATGCCATCCAAATTTTATTCAAAAAAATGTGTGGTCGCAGCATAAAGATTTTTGTTAAAATTGTTGGTAACGAAAGAGTTAACCTTATGAAAGTTTAATTAACAGCATTTATTTGCTAAACTTTTCATCAAACTTTTCATGTTGTTCACCAAAGTTCTTTACTGATTAAAAATTTAAGAGTTTGTAAAATTTCATTTTTATAGTAGAACAAAAATGGCAAAACAGCTTAGATAAACAAGAAAAGTTCACATTGTTTACATAAAAAGAAAAAAGATTCAGTATATTATTAACGTGGTCAAACGTCTTTTTTATATATTTATTATATTTAAAAATAAAGCATAAAAATCTCAATTTTATTTGGTTCTCACGCTCTAAATTTATAGGAAGGTCATACATATGATGATAAATGCTTATTTTAAAAAACAAATAAGATTGGTTCAAAAAAAAAAAATTGAAATAAGTTGTTGTTGCTTTATAACAGTGTCATTTAAAAGTTAATCAAAAATGTCTAAAAACTGATTAACACTATCATCACTGTATGCCTAAAGACAGCCTCTTTACCTGGTAATAATTTTTTTTTTCTGGTAATAATTTTTATTTTCTTGTTGTAAAATTGTATTTCTTGTTAAAACAATAAATTTGTTAATCAGTGAAAGATATGGTCAAAAAAAACACGTGCCATTTGCTGTAGATAAATATGGTGATGTGCAAAGTAAAAATACACATCCAAGTGCTATCTGGTGTGGATAAATTTGATGATGTGCAAAGTGAAAAAACAGACTGAAGGACCATCTGATGTGAATAAATATGATGATGTGCAAAGTGAAAACATAGAATGAAGTGCTATCTGGTGTGGATATGCAAAATGCCATCTGTTATTTTTTATTTTTTTTTTTTATTTTTATTTGAGTTTTCATGCTATATTTTTCTATACAATGTTCTTATATCCAAAGATATTGTTGGCTTAGCATAGGAACAGCCACAAATAGTCATTGAGACTAATCCAAAGTACCGAAGTACTACTCAAGCGCTGAGTTGGCGGTGGCGGGATTTGAACCCGTATCGTTCAACAGTCCGGGTTTTAACTTTTCCTTTGACGCTCTAACCATCTGAGCTATCCCGCTTAGTATAGGTTAACGGTGTGATAAGTGCCATCTGGTGATGAAATGCAAAGTGAAAACATAGACTGAAGTGCCATCTGGTGTGGATAAATATGATGATGTGCATAGTAAAACATTGAGTATTATAACGATCACTAGTCAAAATATTTTGGAAATAGTCAAAATATTTTGGAAATATTTTGGAAGTTCAAATATTTCCATGCTACTCTTTTTCGTCAAAGAGAAGCACAAATTTAGCATGCTAAAATGGCGGATGAAAAATCCCTTATGGTGAAACACTTCTCTGCTTTTCTATTTTATTTAAACATTGTTTTATAAAGCAACAGACATTTTTGCTAAAAAAAAATGTTTATTGTTTTTTTAAACAAACATGGACAGTAAGACATGGTTGAACTACATTTAGACAGTAAGACATGCACAAACTACATTTAGACAGTAAGATACGCATGAACTACATTTAGACAGTAAGACGTGGTTATGGACATGGTCAGCCCAAATGTATCTTTAGGTATAATTCATATGTGTTTATTATCAGAAAATTTTAAAAACATAAATAATTGTTACTAGAAAAACAAATTAGGCATATTGTTAATATAAAATAGATATAAATATCATAAATTAAGGTTATAAACAGTTATGGCCAATAAGATTCTACCACCCAATATTTATAGCGTAAAATTTTTGTACTGTGTATCGTTTACATATATTACTAAAAATATTTTAATTTAAAAAATATAACTTTCTTATTCTAAACCAATTAGACAAATAGTTTTTCAAAATTTCCAAATAATTAATGGAATTGTTGTAAAAACTAAAATTTGTTTAGATATTTATTAAATTAAAACAGTTACATTGTTTGTTCACTAATCTCCAATCACCAACTAAAAGAAAAACCTAGACTCTTTTTGTTGATTGAGACAAATGCAAAACAAGACAACAGATGACCAATTTTAGACTTTATAAAAATAGTCTATTAGTGTATTATTATTTTATATAGAGTTGAGTGGTAAAGGAGAAGGAGATGAAGGATATATATCAAGAGTGGTAGCTTAACTTAGTGGTAGAATGAATTATCGTATTTTGAACTTCATCTAAAAAGATGAAACCCAAAATTTTTATTGCGAAAAAGATTTATTTTGTGAAATTAGGGATCGTCCATAAAGTACGTACGCTTTTTTTTCGCCAACACCCCCCCCCCCCCTCCGTGCAATTTGCTATTTGCTAAAGGTAATTTACTGACCGGAAAATTTTGAAGTTTTATCTTTAGATAATTACGATTGTGATTTCTGATAAAGAAAAAATTTCTAATAATTTACCTATTTTTAAACTAAAATTTGTCGGTAAAGATTCTATTTAATTTTGAAATTAAAATTTACCGTTAAGTTTAGATCACTATCATTGTCACTTCTGTATCCAAGCGAATATTTTGTTAGTTAAACCAACGGAAAACTCCTACCGTTCAAAGTTTCAATGATCGTTTATATAATGTTATTTTTTTTCAGGTTCCGCATGCAATCAATATTCAGGGTATTGCGATTTTCTCAATAAGTGTCGGAAAGTTGATGCAGATGGTCCGCTTTCAAGATTAAAGCAAATGATTTTTAGTTTAAAAACATATAACACTATACTTGATTGGATCAAAACGTATTGGTGGGCATGCGTACTGATAGGTTTAGGTCTGATACTATTTATGGCAGGTAATTATTTTATTAAAAAATTTAAATCTTGCTATTTTTATTTTTTTATTTCTCAATTAAATCTTGTTTTAAATTAAAAAAAAAAAAATTCATTAGGTTTCATAGCGTGCTGCAGCGTTCATACACCTAGTAGCAACCCTAATAAACCACCTGCCCGTCAAATGACTCTTCCTAGAAGTTTGTCACTGCGTCGCAGTCAGCCTTCAGCACCGCCTGCCGATAGAAGCCAAGCAAGGCATCGGGGACCGAACAACGACGATTCACTACCTGGATATAACACAGCTGTGCGTGACACTAATAGGCCTCCGCAATATAGACCTCCTCGTTATAACGATTCTGTTGAAATGATGTAATGTACAAAACATGATGAATTTGTTTTGAACCTATTCATACGATCTTTTGTTTAATTTTTGGTTTATTTTTCGATAGTACTTGGCGTATACTGGGCGTTATGTTTTTGTAACGTTATATTTTTGTAACTCGTCAAAGAAATTTGGTTTGATATAATCAAGTTACGTGTTATTGCAAGTAGGTTTTGACGTATTCAAATCAGTTGCCATCATCCGTATAAATTTTATTGATGTGTTCCTAATGACAGTCCTTTACTTTTTGGACATTTTTATAAATATTTATATTAAAATATTCCATTTGCAGTATTTTACACTATAACTATATAAGCGTAAAAAGGCGGGGGGATGTATTTTTATTTTTTATCTATAATTTATTTGATAATTTTTTTAGTTGATGCAGTTCTTCGACATTTGTTTATATTTTTATTTCATACTATAATGATATGATTTTTATAGGTTAATTTATTTTGCTGCATAAACAACTGGTTTTCTCTAAAAAATTTCAAAACAAAACAAAATTAAAGTCCAAGTTAAAACAAAACACAAATAAAGATTTGTATACTTTTGCTTTATTTGTGCACATGAGAATAATCATTGGATCCTTTTTTTTTCTTCCAAAATTTTGTCATTATAAACTCTACTTTTAAAAGTGTAGCAATAAAATATTTTTTAAATTTCTAAAATTTGATGACTATAATCTTAAATAGTTAAAGGTGTCGAAAAAAACGAAATAATTTAAATTGTATTTTTAATATACAAACTTATTTTTTTTTTTTTCATATTACAGTTTGCATGGGTAAAATAAAGTTAATTTGTTGAAGCAACATTGCGCAATGAGGTCTAAAAATTTTTATTGTTTTATTGGCCAATCAAAGCCAATGCTTAAAAACTATAATATAATTATTTATACAAACTTGTTAGTTTTAACAATTATAACAGTTTTTATTCTAAGTAAAAATTAAAACCGAAAATGGTGGACCTTAATCTTATGTATCTTCTTGACCCAGAATTAAGTGAATTTCCTGAAAATAAATCAGAAAGTTATGATGAAAACAGTGAAATTGATTTTGTTATTGAATTAGAAAATGAATCAAGTAAAATTCGAGCTTATGAAAGTAATCATAGTGTAATAGATCTGAAAAAAACAAAGTAAAAAAAAGTATCTTTAGGGTAAGGTATCTATCGTAATACAAGTATCGTTAGCGTAAGGTATCCTCCTTCCTACTAAAATTTTATTTTTGTAGCGTTAAATATTATATTTTTAGTTTTCTTAGCTGCTCCTTTGTCCCCCATCCCCCGCAAAAAAGTGACGAGGCCCTTTCCCCTAAATATTTTTTTCTAGTTCATTTTGAATAATAAAATATGCAATATTTGATTTTTATATAGTGTAGTTAATAAAACACGATTAAGTATTTAAATAATATTTATTTATTAAATTGAAAAAAGACCCCATCTCTTTGCTAGAAATGATTATAGAAAGAAATGAACATTGAAATTGTGTTTGAGGGGGAAGCATACATAATATTAATTACAAACTTTATCTCACTTATGACTGATAGAATTTTAATTTTACAATAGCTATACTAGCGTTTCTGAACTAGCAACTGTCACAGGTATTGTCGTTTATATTGCTGTGTTTACATCTGAAAAATTATACTCTATAAAACTGTTTTTGATGAACAGTATGTTGGCTAAATCTTTCATTGTAGTTGATTTTTTTTTCTTCTTTTTCATTCAGTGATTCAAAAAAAAAAAAAAAAAATACAATAAATCTATCTATAGTTTGATGAAGAGGCCTACATCAGGCCATTCTATGCTGATGAAAATAAAAACACAGACAAAGCAGCAGTTGTATCTCTAAAAGTTACTTTGTTATGCTGTCTTTAAAAGCATTGATTGATGGAGCGTTCATTGTTGCTTGGGAAAGCGCATTCCATGGGACAACAACTCTATTTGAAAAAAATTTCTGTGATATAAAATTTAACAAGAATAATTGCATTAACTAATTGGGGTGGAAAATTTTTTTAAATCGTCTGGATAATTCAGTTGAAATAATTTAGCTGATTCAATTAGATTATTAGAAGTATTGATAGGAAGTTTTGAAGTAATAATTAAAAGTTTCGAGGTAGCATAAAATTAAGAAGATTAGAAACTTTTTCCATTTCAGTAAATCCATCACTTATAATATTTATATAAATAATTTCCACTTAAATCATCAAAATGTCTTTTATATTTTGATCGCCTTCTAAGCTTAAAAGATGGTTTTATTTGCCACTTAATGCAAATAGTCTCTAAATCAAATAAATTGTAATTTGATTAAAAGTATTTTAACTTGAATTTCAGATTACCTAATAACGTGGCCGCTTCGTTTAGATCTAAAGACTTTTTTTGAAATTTTTTTGAAGCATAATTTACATTAGTTAGTATGTGTTATTAGGCTAATAAAAAGCAAATTCTAAGTTTAACATTTTGTCCCTTTATTTTTAAGCTTCAGTTTGTTCTTCTTTTTTTTTTTTTTTTTTTTTTTGAACTTTTGAAAGAAATTTCTGTTAAAGTTATAACAATATCTAAAAAACGTAATTTTATAGCTAAAAAAAATTAATTCTTGAGGATAATCTTCGCAGCCGGCATTTGGTTGACGTTCTGCAGCCGTATTCTCATCTCTCCGTTAAGCTTAACAGAGCGTTTGTCAAAAATTTCATTACAACATATCTAAGTAAAGAAGTGACAAAAACTTTATTTGAATTTGTTTAAATTAAACTAAGACTAAAATAAAACAATTTTATTAAAAAAAATTTTTTTTAAAGAATTTTTTTTATTAATGTAGTTAAAAGAACTTTTTGTCAAAAGCTCCGTTAAGCTTAACGGAGAGATGAGAATACAGCCACAGAACATCTTTTCAAAAGACATTTTGAACGTTTAAAAAGCGTATTTTTAGGACCAAATGCCGCCTGGGTTATTGGGTTTAATACATATGAAAAATTGAAAAATAATAAACAAGCTGGATAAATTTCTGTTTTAAGTAAAGGAAAACATTGAACACAGGATTAATAATCATTAAGAGTAGGTATCTGAATCAGAAACTCAAATAACTTTCCGAATTTTATATAAGTAAAGAAAAGACTTTTCGGTGTTTTCAACAATAAAAGCACCGTATGACTACACACTGTGTGTGACAACAAACTGTGTGTGACTACACACTGTGTGTGACTACACACTGTGTCTGACAACACACTGTGTGTGACTACACACTGTGTGTTTTTTTGTTGTCTAAATTGATAAAGCTAATCTTAAGAATTAAAAATAAAAATTTTTAATTTGTTAATAACTTAGTTTTTCTAAAACTAGCATCCTTTTACTGTATTTATCCCTACAGCTTTAAAAACTAATCTTTTTATAGTTCTTTTCCCCCGCACTGGAACTCTCCCCCATTTTCGTGTTTACCAATACACATCACACATTCCCCAACTTTTTAAGTCTTCTGTCAACCTTTTCTCTGCTTTTTAACTACTCTTTGTTTTCAATTAACTCTAAACTTAATAGTGGTTGCTTTAAGCCTTAAATCAACGCTAAGTGGCTACTGTCTTGTTGAAGTACTCCTAGGCAAAGACTTAAGGGATAAACAGATTCTATATGTTGATCAGCTTTACACCCCTTATTCATCTATTTTAATAAATATTTTCCAGTTTAGGATGTAGAACACTGAAACTTTTTTTTTCACTCAATGCATGAATTTTGCTTGTGTCTTTATTTTTCTTGTGTTTCTATTCTCTATTTTGACTAGGCAACTCTTTCTATTATCTCCTAATGGAGGTACAGCTCTGAAACTCAGTTTTATGGTTTTGCAGCCGGCTGGTAGTCTGGTTTCCCGAACTCTGTCGTAGCTCTCAGAGAGGCTGATTCCATTAACAGTATTAAAATACTAACAGTGTCATATTGCGCTTGAATGGTGTCTTTTTCCATACTTTTAGTGTGATTTGTCGAGGCCGCATTTGAAATCTTGTTACGAATAAGGGTTTTGTTACCTATTCAGGATTTTAGTAATGAGTCAATTGCTTGAATTTTTAGATTGTATTCTGGATTGTATTTAAAAAATTACTAAAGTATTAAAAACTAAAAAATACAAAATACCATCGTCATTACCAAGTTCTCTAAATCTATCATTCACTAATATTTGTGGTCTTTGAAGTAACTTTTCTTCTGTTAAGTTTTACATCTTACAAAGTTTACCAGGCCTAGTTGCTCTTTGTGACACTAATTCGAGTTCAGCTGATTCATCTTGTAATTTTAGTGTTGATTGTTATCTTCTTTTAATTTGTAATGACTTCCTTTAATTTGTAACGAGTCACATGCTTGGCCTGGACATTTATACTCTGAAGAATTCACTCATTTTTCGGGAACTAGGTTTGAATTGACATACTATTATTTTACATGCTTTTGCTTAGCACCACTTTACTAAATCACTCTTCTATTTGTTTTATATCGCTCTACTTCACCTCAAGACAGCACTCTTTTCTGTTATTTCTAATCAAATTGACCTAACCCTTCACTTTATTCTTGTTGTTGTTAACTTTAATGCTCATCACACTGAATGGCTCGGTTCAAGTCTCAGTGACTCTGCAGGTGTTAAGCCCTAGATATTTTTCTTTCTCAATTTCTAATATAAATAGTCAACTTTCCAAATCGCTTTGCAGACAATCCGAATCATTTACCACTTTCTATACAACTTATTTCTTGTTTCTAATCTTGTCAATGTTTCTCCGTGATTTATCCTTTAAAATTAATTTTTTTTAAATTTAAAAATGAGCAAATTGCTTTTACTCAGTAATTGGTCAGCTTTACTTGAATAAAAACTTTAAGAGTTTTGCTTAAGTCTTTATTCACGTAAAGCTGAGCAATTACTAAGTAAATTGCTTAACTTTACGTGAATAAAAATTTGAACAAAACTGCTGAAGTTCTTATTAAAGTTAAGCTGACCAATTACTGAGTAAAAGCAATTAGTTATTTTTTATTCACCCGGCCTATAGCAGTCAAACAGGTTGATCTATTGCTTGACAGCAACATTTTTTGCAAAGTATTCTCCTAAAAAAAAGGATTAATAACATTTGTTCTGATTTATCCCAGGAATATGATATAAAGAACATTTTAAACTAGTTTAATATTGTAGTCAACGATGTAGATGATTTTATTTATCTTTTTAAAATTTAAATTTTAATATATTTTATTAAAAACGCAGTTATTTAATGCATCTTAATTTTGATGACTTTCAGGAATATGATATAAAGAACATTTTAAACTAGTTTAATATTGTAGTCAACGATGTAGATGATTTTATTTATCTTTTTAAAATTTAAATTTTAATATATTTTATTAAAAACGCAGTTATTTAATGCATCTTAATTTTGATGACTTTCGGTTCTTTAAGTTCCCGCACACTTTATTTCTTAATTTCTTATTATTTTTCTTTTCTTTTAAACATTTTTTTTTTTTGTAAACACACTGTGAAACAAATTTTTCTATCAAACTTTTTTCGTTATTATCTTACAGAAAAGTTTCGCTTCCATAAATTACGGTCTCTTAATACAATTTCAACTTTTTATACGATTGTCTACATTGCCGTAACATTAAATGACGGACTTTACCCGTATAATACCTCTGTCAGAAATTTAAAAAGTGGCATTGTTTATTTTTTCACGAGGTTATGAAATAAAGAAACTGTCTCATAAATAAATTTTAAGAATGTATAAAACTTCAAGTTACGATAATTTGCAATGAGTGGATTAAAAACAAGATTATTTGCAATGAGTGGATTAAAAACAAGATTATTTGCAATGAGTGGATTAAAAACAAGATTATTTGCAATGAGTGGATTAAAAACAAGATTATTTGCAATGAGTGGTCTAAAAAACAGAAAGATAATTCGCAATGAATGGTCTAAAAAACAGAGAGATAATTTGCAATGACTGGTATAAAAACCAGAAAGATAATTCGCAACGGTCTAAAAACTAGAAAGATAATTTGCAATGAGTGGTATAAAAACCAGAAAGATAATTCGAAATGGTCTAAAAACCAGAAAGATAATTTGCAATGAGTAGAATAAAAACCAGAAAACACAGCAATGTCAAAGTTGTCTAATAAATAAAATTTAATAAACAACTTGAACAATTTTTTTTTAGTTAGGTGTTAAAGTACTAAGTCTACTAAATATTTATGTATATCATTGACTGTATTTTATTTAACCACTTAAAACTATATTGTTAAAAACTAGACTTTATTTAATCATTTAAAAGGTATTTGATGACTCCCTAGTCTTCTACGAACTTCCTTTACAACAACATTTATAAATTTATATATATATAAATATATATAGAAATTTTCTTGTTTTTAATTTTTTTTTTTTGTCAGATTATTGATTGTGCGAGCGTGTGTGTGTACACTTTTTTTGAGAATCTGTTGCAGTTTTCTAAAAGAAAAGCCATCAATGCCCGTTCACTTCATTCGCGATAAAAAAAATTAATTTTCTTATAAAAAATTACAAATACAAATTCCATTATCTCATAGTTTAAAAATATCAAAAGTACTAAAGTGTTGCATATTATCATTCGATATTTTCCAAGACAAATGTCCATGCATGATCGCCAGAAGAACTAGCTCGAGGAATCTGGTATAAGTCTATTTGAATACCTTGGCTTAATTGAGACCAACTAATATTACCAGAAAATCCTAATAATTTTACACTAGTAAGTGAGTTTGTTTCTGGAGAACCTAAGTGCAGATATCTAGATTTCGGCCAACCACACATGATTGCATAAACGCTATTCAACTTTTGAGTATACCTACAAAAAATGTTGTGGTAATAAAAACTTGTTAGCAATTAGACTAACGGCAATAAAAGCAAACACTAACACAAAAATGCATACATACCATACTTTCCAGCTATGAGGATCTTTTTGCACCCGCCATGGTTTGGTTCCATAAATTGCTTCACCATTTATTCGAAGCCATTTTCCTATATCACGGAGCCTTTCTTCGTATATTGGTGTGATTCGTCCATCTGCTGTGGGCGCCACATTTAGAAGTAAATTTCCACCACAACTAAAAAAATGTTTAGATATAAGTATATAAATGAACTAAAAATTTACTGATTTAAAAAATAAAAGAGAATAATTTGAATTGATATACCTAACCGTCTCAATGAGATTTTCAATAAGTTTACTTGTGCTAATGTAACTATCAAGTTTGGCTTCTTGTCTGTAACCCCAAGATAGTTTATCAATTGTCATAGCATTCTCCCATTTAAAAGGTAATTTTTTACCTAAACAAAAAAACTTAATCAAAAATTTAACATTTATATTGACAATTCAAAGAAGATAAAATATTTTTTTAAATATCACACCATTAACAACTACATACGTAATTTTTTCTTTTTTGGAGATTTTATATGTTCAGTTTTTATTTATATGTTGGCAAATTCCTTGGTTATAATTCTATAGAAGAGTTTTTGTTTATTATTCTATAGAATTCTATAGAAAAGCTACTTTTGTTTGTTATAATTCTATAGAAAAGCTACTTTTGTTTGTTATAATTCTATAGAAAAGCTACTTTTGTTTGTTATAATTCTATAGAAAAGCTACTTTTGTTTGTTATAATTCTATAGAAAAGCTATTTTTGTTTGTTATTAAGAGAGGGTTGTAACCACAATTGTAGTAGCCTCCTCAACTGAAGTTCTCGGCCTTAAGGAGGAGAATTAACATAAAATAAAAATAAAATAAAAATGTTGAATAAGTTATGCCATGTTTTGATATATATTTTTTGTTATGACCATAATTTTTTTGTTATTTATTTATTTGCTAAAAAGTTTACTTTAAACAAATTTATAGATTTTCTTTGACTTATTTTTACATCACTTAACTTTTTAAAAGTTTTTTCTCCATTTTTGCATTTTTTTAAATTTCGTTAAAAAACTCAAAATGTTCAACTGTTTTAATTAAAAAAAGTTTAAATAATTAAATACATGGGTTTACCCACAGCTACTGTGTTTTGCCCAAATAAAGGGTAAGCTGGCAAAACACTTGCTCAGCTGTGCAATAAATTATTATATTACTTTATAATATTTAATATTCTAGAGTTTTCTGGTGGAATAGTTCGCTATTCACCATTAAATATGATTTTAGTTTTTTCTTATAAATAGATGTGTTTTGTTCATCTCGAATGATACTTGGAAGAATATTCCAAAGTCTAGGACCATAGTGGGATACCGCTCGATCACCAAAACGATTGCTGGATTTTGTTTCTTTTAATTTCAGATTTCTCTCTGATGATGAGAAGTGAATAAAATTACACAATGATGCTGGCGCTTCGTGGATAATAGACTTGTGCATTATTAATAAAACCTTGAAATAAATTCTTTTTCTAATTTTAAGCCAATGCAAATTGATAAATACCTGGTCATTTATTTGATTTTCTATTCTGGTTTTAAATACTAGTCTTGCTGCACAATTTTGAACAGACTGCAGTTTTTTTAATAGTGACCTTTTAATTCCAAAGTAGAGGGAGTTGCAATAATCTAGCTGTGAAAAAATTAATGAACATACTATGGTGCACAAATCTTTATGCGATAAGAGTTGTTTTATTTTGGATATTTTGCAGATTATATTGTAACAACTTTTCACAATCTTATTTATCTGTGTTTTCAAAGACAGTTCATTGTCAAGTATCACACCCAAACTTTTTGTGGAGTCAACAAGTCCTTGTTAACAAAAGTACCTTTAATAATAATATCTTTTTGAATGTTAGGTGGTGCCATAATTAGAAGGAATGCTTTGAGAGTTTGATGATCATCTGAGTATCCAAAGATTTTAACATTGATTATGTTCAAATGTTTGTACAGTGGTCTCATATAGATATTAAATAGTTTTGGACCCAGTACTGTACCTTGCGGTGCTTCATATTTGACATTTTGGTTTGTAGAGTATGAGTTACTAATTTTAACATTTTGGGTACGATTAACTAAAAATGATTCAAACCACTTGTGAGCTGAGTCCATTATGCCTAATTCACTAGTTAATAGCCCAAGTAGTTTTTGTTGATCAATAGTGTCAAAAGCAGCACTTAGATCAAGTAACATAAGTACTGAAGGTGTATTCTTATCAAAGAGTTCAAATATATCATTGGTAAGCTTCAGCAAAAGTGTTTCAGTGGAATGATGTTTTTTGTATACATATTGATATTCTATATGAAGATTGTTTGTTGTCATGGAGATTGTTTGTTGTCATGTGGGATTGTTTGTTGTCATGTGGGAATCTAGACCATTGGAAACTACTCTTTCTATTAGCTTGCTAATAAATACTAAACTGGAAACTGGTCTATAATTTTTAAAGTTTTCTGTATCTGTGGTGGCAGAGTTTAACTTCTTTATTATTGGAAGTAATGTAGCACTTTTTAGACAATCCATGCTGCTTGATTCTAGCGATAGGTTTACTATTTCCACCCATATATGTATAAATGTTTGTAAATTATTCTTTAGTAGATATGCTGGAATGGGATCATCTGGAGAACATTTTATTCCAAACGACATGGCTATATTGTAAATTTCTTTGTAAGTTGTTGGATCAAAATTTCTTAAAAAAACTGACCATTATAATCTGATGCGCTTTTCTTTGGGGTGTTATAACATTTGATCTGAGTTTTCTGATTTTTTTAGTAAAATAACTGTTGAAGTTGTTAGCCAGTTCTTCGTCTAAACTCGCTGATGGTAGTACATGTTCCTGAGTTTTATCTAGTGTGGTATGTGTTTTTTTCTATTTTTTGTTCTAATTTAAAACCAATAAGAAAATGGTCACTCAAATCTAAGTCTGTCACAGCTAGCATATCAACTGATATTTCATCTGGCTTATTAATTACTACATCTAATAATAGTGTATGCATGTTTGTGCATACATTGTATATTTGTACATACATAGTATGTTTGTATATACATAGTATATTTGTAGATACATAGTATGTTTATATATACATAGTATGTTTGTATATACATAGTATGTTTGTATATACATAGTATGTTTGTACATACATACTAAATAAAAATAAATAAACGATAATAAAAAAATTAAACTTTTGTTGAAATATAATTGCTTAAAAAATAATAGTGAGAGCCCTACCTGGATTATAACGATCTTTGCAAGTTTTTATATCTCCATGAATACAATTTGCATCTTTCCCCCATCTATCATTTACGACTACATTGTCTTTAACTGGACTGAAAAAAACATACAATAATTTTTTTTAACATGTTTTTGGCACATCATCAGCCTTAAGAGAAAAAGTTTTAAGTTTCATCTTGAGTTTAATTGCAAATTTTGGAGATGCTGATCTTCTTTCCTAAAACTATATATTGCACATGTGGCTATATCAATATATTGCTATATATTGATATAGCCACATGTGCAATTCTTGTTGTTAGAAAAAAAAAATCTCTGAAATCCTATGCTTTTTTCATTTTATTATAATTTTTATTTTACTAAGCAATCAATGTATTGTATTACACCAATGATCCCAAGAATTTATTGTCAATCTTCAACATACAATCATCATGAACTGTTTGCGTTTGTCATTTTGATAAGTTAATAATTTTGATAAAACCATCATAAACTGTTTGTATTTGTTCTTTTAAAAGTTCAAAAAATTACAAATTGCCTCTTTTCGATTATTTGGTGAGAAACATTAGAAATGTTTCTGCCCAAATTATAAGTATCAATTTTATAACAATGTTATAAAATTGTTATTCATCTTTGAAAGAGTAACAAAGCAACAATATCAATGACAACATTGGTGTTTTTCCTTTGTTTTACTGTCTCACATCTTGTTAAAACATCTATTGTTTCATTTTTACAAAACTTAATAATTCAAAGAGAATATCTCTGCAATATTTATTAGTGTTTTGACCATCCTATTTGATGCTTCCTTGACAACCAAAGTTTAATTATCAATAGGAGGTGTTCTGTTCTTATTTGAATACTGAAAGATTACTTTTTGAATTCAAAATTTTTCTTTTGTTGTTTTCTTACTTATTCTTATAATAACAAATAAATATTTCATGTTTTATTTGTTTATTTAAATATATTTTCATATTTTAAAAAACCATCTTTATCTAACTTTCTAAAGTTTTCTTTTTTTCAAGTGTTAAAATTGCCACAAAAATTTTTTTATTATTTTATTATTGCAATTTTATTTGCTTTGAAATTTGCGGACTTTCCATCAAAGCCTGTGTATTTTCAATTATTGTATTCAAATGAAATTTTGAGTATACAAATACAATTGATAATACACAAGCTTTGAAGATAGATCAAATTAGTTTTTATGGTGTCATTTTATAGTCGATTCATTTATATTATCATTTTTTTGCAAATAATGTTTGCACACATTTAATTTATTACTGTATAACTAGATCTAATCTAAGCATCACTGCGTCACTGATACCAATTTTTGTGAAATTGTCATCTGGCTTATAATAGACTTGAAGGCTTCAATACATTAACTGACAAATGATTTAGGTTTAGGCAGTTATATGTCTATGTATACATTTGTTAGGATAAAATCAATAAAAATGATTACAAAAATAACTGGTCAATCAATATAATCAATGTCAATAATCATGAAAAATAATAAATTTTCTAAATAATAATAATAAGTTATCATTTTGAGTTTCTGTTTTTATTATTGTTTTCCTAATATATATATATATATATATATATATATATATATATATATATATATATATATATATATATATATATATATATATATATATATATATATATATATATATATATATATATATATATATATATATATATATAAATATATATATATATATATATATATATATATATATATATATATATATATATATATATATATATATATATATATATATATATATATATATATATATATATATATATATATAACTATAACTAAAAAGAGAAAAAAATAAAAACATAAACTATAATGATAATGTATAATAATTATAAAAATACAAATACTATCATATAAATCAATAATACTCGAATATACTAATATAATAAAAATAAATACAATATAACAGTAACAATATACTAATATAACTAGTTTATTTAGTTAAAATTAAAATTATGGTTGTATGTACTATATACGTTTGTGTGTTTAGGTCTTCAAAAAATACCTTTCATTGTATAACCATGCAAGAAATTTGGCGCTGTTCCAATAATCACTTTTTGCCTCCCAATCACCATCAGACCAAATATAAAGAGGTTCATATTTATGGACCAAGTCATATAGTTGTGGCATAATTTTTCTCTACAAATAAATCATTCCCATTTAAAGCAAATATACTTCTAGGATTATAATCCTTTCTACACATTTTAATAGAATGTTCAACAAGAAACACAGAAAGATTAAAGTAAATTAAATTACTAAAGACGATCTAAAGATTGTCTTTCTTAGAACATATGCTCATTATTCAATTAATAAAGACAATCGTTGCTGTTACCTTGACAAACTCTTGAGTTTTAAAATCGTTCTTTTTATCTTCGTTATACCAAGGATTGAACCACTCATATAAAGAATAGTACAAGCCAAATGTAACATTAGTATTACTGAAAGCAGTCTTTAATTCATCTGAATTTTAAAATTTTAAAACATATTTTAAAACAAAATGTTAAAAGAATAATAAATAAATGTATATATCTAATGATGCAATTCTACCAAACCTAAATTTTTCAGTCAAAGTTTAAAAAAAATAATAACAAAAAATAATGAATATCAACCTGTAAATCTACCATCTTTGATATTGCATTAATGATGTAACATATTTTAAAAAAATACACTTCTAATTTGCAATACTCCTAGCTAATTTTTTTGAGATAGTTAAAATTTGTTTTAATATGGTAAATAAATATATTAAAAGATCTATAACTATTATTTAAAACTAAGATCTCAAAAATACAGATTAGTCTAGAAACATATGGAAGAATTTGCATTTACTTGTAGACTGTATGTTGCTTAGGGAAAACTTGTAAACTATATGTTGCTTAGGGAAGGATAATATTTAATAATGTCTAAAGGCTATTGGTAAAAATCTCTGTATAAATCCCTCTCACTGAGTCCTCTTCTTCAATTCATTTCTCCATTCTCTACATCTACGAATCTCTTTTTCGCCCCTGTATGGAATACTGTTATCATATTTGGGCTGGTTCTTCTGATGATGGTCTTTCTCTTCTGGACAAAGCCTGAAAATACATTGTAAACATAGTTGGACCCGCTCTATCAACTAAATTTGACCCTCTTTCCCATCTTTCCATCATCTTTCATCATCCATCAGGAGCTCAATCATCTCTAGTTCCATCAACTAAAACTCAATCTTGCTTTACTCAGCAGCAATATTATTAAATATATAATTAACTTCCAACTTAATAGTGGTTGCTTCCTCCCTTGTTGAGAATAGAATTAAAAAAAAAATTTTTTACAAGAAATATTACACACTAGAACATTTTATTTTCTGAAAAAAAACCTTTTTAAAACATTTTTAATAAAACTTAAAAAAACCTTCAACTAAAAAATTTAAATATAAATTATAAAACAATTATAAATATTTATATTTTATTAAACCTTTTATTAATTTTTTTAATTAAAAATTATTAAAAGTGTTTGAACCCCCTGACTATTCTTTTATGTGGTTTTGTTTAACACCTCTTCACTGAATCAATTTTCTTTTTACTCTTTATAATTTTGCTTATTTCCAATTCTTCATCAAACTAATCAAGCTATTTCTTATCATCCATTAGCCGATACTGATGTTATTGGTGACACTAATGTTCACCACATTGAATGTTCAATGTTCATCATATTGATTGGACTCTAACACCACTGACATTGCAGGTTCTAAAGCTCAAAATTTTTCCTTTATTTCTGACTTAGATAGTATAGTAGATCTACATACTCAATAGTGTATATATATATATATATATATATATATATATATATATATATATATATATATATATATATATATATATATATATATATACAGTAGTGACCATTGAAAGGCACTTTACGGTTTTTGGATAAATTTAGTATAACTTTGAATGTGCCTCTTAAATATGCAAGTTATTATATGTCAATGTCATTAAATGAATCAAATTAAAATTTATCACATATCTTTGTTTAAAAGACGTCATCAAAGCTTATTAAAGTTCTTTTTTAAGTAAATAGTAAATAAATTAAATAAAGTAAATATGGGTAAAAAGCCAGATTTGAGTGAACTTGTTAAAGGTCAAGTCATAACTTTGCATGGTGAAGGGTACTCACAAGTTTTTTTTTGGCCACAAAAAAAGGCATTAATATTAGTGCCAGAAGTGTTCGCCTGTCTACAGAATTCAAACTGCATGCGCATAGACCAGCAAAGAAGCCTTTTCTAACCAAGAAACAGCTTCAGGCACGTGTGAAATTCTGTCGTGATATGAAGGACAAAACGGCTGAGTGGTGGACTACTGTGATGTTTTCTGATGAAAGTACTTTCCAGCAGCTTCCTGGTTCAGGGTAAAATTTTACAATGGTCGACCGGTAGGTGAAAGACTAAACCCTAAAAAAAAACACTCTGAAGACTGTTAAACATCTGCCATCTGTTATGGTGTGGGGAGCTATCTCAGCTAAGGGTAGATGCTGAATCCACATCTTCGGTAAGGACAAAATGGTCAATGCTGCAAAGTACATACATGTTTTAGAGTCAAAGGTTAAGACACAAATGAACATTTCTGAAACTATCATATTTCAACAAGACTCAGCACCGTGTCATACTGCGAAACCAGTCAAGAAGTGGTTTCATGACAACCATGTGCAACTTTTGAAGAACTGGCCCTCAAGTTCGCCTGATTTGAATGTTATTGAAAATTGTTGGAACTTAATGAAAGCTTAAGTGTCAGTAGATCGTTTAATGTCAGAGGAATATTTAAAAGATGTATTGAAGCAGGTAAATGAAATTACCCCAGAGTACTGTGACAAGTTTGTAAAAAGTATGCCTTCTCATATACAGGCTGTATTGAAAAACCGTGGTTACCCTACGAAATACTAAGATTTTGAGACTTTTTGTTGATGAATTTTAAAAGTGATGCTGCTATATATGTTTTAGAAGATTTTATAATACAATTTCATGATATATATATATATATATATATATATATATATATATATATATATATATATATATATATATATATATATATATATATATATATATATATATGTATATATATATATATCTACTATAGCATATTTATATGCGCAATTGCTCACTTTTTTTGCTAGCCTAAATTAAGTGAACGTTTTTAGAAAACGATGAGGGAAAACGAAGAATAATGAATGAAAAGGTTGCTAACCCATACCAAACCCTCAGTCGATGTAGCAGCACTCCACTGAGAGTCAGGCTATTTGTCAGTCGATATATATATATATATATATATATATATATATATATATATATATATATATATATATATATATATATATATATATATATATATATATATATATATATGTATATATATATGTATATATGTATGTATGTATACATATATATACATGTACAGATTTACTCTAGTTGCTAAGCCTCTGTCCCATCATCGTAAAGTTTCATCACTTTCTCTTTTCTTCTTGCTGCTCAAATGAGCTATCATTACTTGCTATAAAACAAAACTCATTCCTATATGACTTGTTATAAAAAAATCACATCCTTTAACTGCAACTTCTTCTGCAAAATCTTTAAACTTTTCTCAAAAAACTTTATTTAATTAGCATTTTTTTTTTTTTAGTATTTTGAAAATCTGTACTTTATAATTCTTTAACCCCTTTTTCTTTATGGGGTTATCCATAATATATGTCACGCTATAAGAGGGGAGGGTTGGCGGTTTTGCGACGACTCATACAAAACTTGCTATTTGAGTGTTACAATTTTGTGACATGGGGGAGGTCAAAAATGGTTGAAAACTGCGTGATATAATTTATGGACAACCCCAACATGAAAACTTCCTTCATTTAAGATAAGTTACTTAAAATAGCTCTTTGGATTCCTCAATGTTGTCAAATAAAACTATCAGTAATGTTTTATCTGATATCATAATGAATTTGATATCAAAATTTTTATCTTACTCAACTAATTCTATGCTAATTTTCACAGTATAGTTTCATTTGATTTACATACAAAAGCACCTTCTTTAAAAAAAAGTTTATTTACCTTGAGTTGTTCTTTTTGAGTTTTGGGCATCTTTATTTCAATTTACTTATACATACATATCAGAATATTTCTACATTTCTACATTATTATTATTATTATTATTACATTTATATTATTATTACACTTATACTTTTTTGTTTATACACAATAACTTAGGTCGTTGGGCTACACAGTCAAAATGTTGTTAAGCCACTACAGTCAAGTAAGCTATTCATTATTGTATACTTTTTTTCTTTTTTTAAATTTTCTCCCAACCAAAATTTTTTAAACACTTTTCAACTTCAAGTATAAACAAATATTTAAGTGGCAAATAAAGCCACTATAAAAATTTCGCTCATATAAAAATTGCAACACCCATGACAACATCCTTAACAACAATAGTGTTCTGGCTATCATAAATGTCACCCATGTTGTTAAGACTGAAGTCAATAGCTTTATCTTTGTTAATCTAGTTGTCAGGGTTAGAGGACTGTAAATGAAGTAAATGACAGTTTAACATTTAACTTTGTTGCACAAGCTTTGCACATGATTAGTTTTAAAAATTGGAAGTTGAATGAGCTTCATATGCTTCATCATTCCAGACATTTTTGGTAAAAAATATTTCAAGACTCATTTTAAACTTTCCAACAGCAACTCCACCAGGTCTTTATATATAAATTTATAAAATTTATTTTAATAACTTTGAAACATTTCTCTTTTGAAATCGCACTTTCTTATAAAGATTAGGCGTTTAACTCTTCCTTAAAATTAAAAAATTTTCTCAACCTAATTTAATTGCCAGCTTTGTGTGATGCACAACTATGCTCTTCCTTTTTTTGTGTGATGCACAACTATGCTCTTCCTTTTTTGTGTGTGATGCACAACTATGCACACTTCCTTTTTTTGTGTGATGCACAACTATGCTCTTCCTTTTTTTGTGTGATGCACAACTATGCTCTTCCTTTTTTGTGTGATGCACAACTATGCTCTTCCTTTTTTTGTGTGATGCACAACTATGCACACTTCCTTTTTTCTTTTACGTAACTTAAGATTGTTCTTTTTCTTTCCAAACTTTAATTCCATTTTTATATTCCATTTTATCTTTTTATTAATATATTTAGTAGTTTTTACTTTTTTTTCCAATTAAGAGTATATATGTAAAACAAAAATACTATTTTATGCTATCAGCAACTATATTTATGTACTACAAATTGATTATTTTAACTAAAATTTAAAAAAAATAAAATAATATTTATGAAAAAATGACAAAATTTATAATATTTCAACATTTTTTGTTAGTATTTCTTAAAAAAAACTAATTCTTATCTCATCTAAAAAATGACATTTTGTTTCAATACTCAGATCCTTACTGAAACTGCCATTCTAGTTGTATTTTTATACAATCAGGTACTGTCAATATCTCAACACTTTTCACAACTTTTCTGGGAATTTGAAGAAATTCATGAAACTTTTATGATCTCTTTGCTTAAGACTCAAAATCCAGAAGTTTTTGGAAAATTTTTGATAGTGTCATTTCTGATCTTGCTATCTCTGCCAAGGATAAAATAAATTTATTAGCAATAAATTTTTTCACTAATTCTTTGCTTTAATTTAATGACTAAAATCTTCTATACAAATAATTATTATTAAAAATGGTTTTTTCCTTCTACCTGCCAGTTCTGATAGTATTCTAAAAGTCTGTAACTGCTATGTTAATAACATATAACATCTATTATTTCGCCAAAGTTAATATCTTGTTATTAGATCTTTTTAAATTGTATATGATTCACGTTGTGTTTTTTAAGTCAATAAAGACCACGATGAATAGAAATTTTATTATCTCCAGCTGTTTTATTTGGTCCCTTGAAATCGTCTTATTGAGTACTATAAAGATTCTCTAGTTATGTTGAACCTTGGATAACTCAATATTTGTCAATTAGAACCATTTTTTCATCCTCTTTCAGCAAATTTCTTCGGAAAACTAAAAAAAAACTCGAACTTTTTGTAATTAAAGATATTGACATAATTAAAATCTTTTTTAAAAAATAAGCCATTTCATATATAACATAAATAACTGCAGCTTAATAATTTCTTTATTTTTTTGTTGTCTTTAGATGTGAATAGAAGAGACCGTTATCCAATGTAAAATCACAATAAAACCTTGGAAAAAACAATTTTTTTAATAATTTAATGAATTTCTAAATTAAACACCGCTTGCTTTTATACACAATTTTATTACCAAATAATAAGGAAGTCATTGTGTCGCTAAACTTTTTCAAATGATATCTTTTGATTATAATACATGAATAAAATCCATAATTTCTTTCATTGAAACATTAGAATAGTGGCGTAAATTCAATGCATATACTTTATCAAGGAATAAAGAAAAATCGCCTTAACTCGAATTAATATCTCATATCAGCCAAAGTTTGACTTAACAGGAATTCGCTTTAGAAACATTCCTTAAGTCAAACAATTTTTCTTGGTTCCTTGGAGGTTCAACTTATAGGGAACTAACTATACTTGATTGAGGAAAATATCAAGCTAATTTTGCCATTAAAATACAATTATTATGAATACTATTATCTATTTACTGAACTTTTATCTACTATCTGAACTTTTCAGAAATTAAAAAAAAAAACGCAAGGCTGTAGTAGTGGTGGTTTTAATGAATTTAACTGTTTTTAATGAAACTGAGCCAAAGATCTAAGATCTTCAAACAAAATGACACTTCGTTTTCCAATTGAATATCTGGAATATATTGAAAACCTGTGGAGGTTCAAAGCAGGTAATTTTGAACAGTTTTTTTGTAATTAAGTATTATGCTGAATTGTCTATTGCATGAAAACACATTATAAAAGTATTGTAAAATCATTTCTTTGGAAATTTGACTTTCTGAAATACTTCAATTTTCACTAGCTACCCTGTATATGATGTTAGTGACCTTCAGTAATCGATATTTTACATTTGATTCTAGGACATGATAACTGAAATATTTAGTAATGTGATACATAATTGTTAATACAATAAACAACAACTGACATAATACATAACAGTTGACATGACACAAATAAACTGTCATGTATTAATATAATTAAATAAAAATAAACAAATTAAGCTAAATCAAATGACCTAAAACATCTCGTTTTGGGCCCAAATCAACAGAATTCCAATTCCATGATTCATCTGATTTCCAGTGTGTGAACCCTTCGTGATGCTTGCTTGTAAACACAAAGTATCTGAACAAATAATTTTTTTTGCATTTTGCATTTTGTTTAATTTAACTAATGGCAAAAAATGAAACCTTAAAAAATGAATTTAAAATAAAGTAACACTTAATATAAATAATTACAGTTTATTTAATAAAAAAGTTTACTTTGCACATTTCTTACAAAGTATTGTAACTTACTTGGCACCAGAATCTTCAACTAGCTCAGCCCATTCATTTGCATTAAAGTTACTTCCAGTCAATTTAGAAGCTAAATCTTGATATGATTGAGATGGGAAATTATTACGCATGTAAGCATTGTATTCACGTTTATTTTCCCCTAAATAAAATATAACATGATTTGTTTTTAAATAGAATTGTAAAAAAAATTAATAAATAGTTATTTATCAATAAAAAAGGAATGCTTTATGATTAAAAAAAAAGAGGCGATTTCCAACCTTTCCAATGCCACCAAAACCATTCAGATTTAAATGCTGTTACAGAATATATTCCCCAGTGAATAAAAATTCCAAATTTTGCATCATCATACCACTTGGGAAGTTTTCTTTGATCTAAAGATTGCCAATGTGGTTCAAACTTCCTAGAATGCCTTCCTAAAAAAATTATATAGATAAGAATGTAACATTGAATTATATATACTTCATAGACAGAATGTAAAACTGAAAAGTTATATGAAATACATATATATATATATATATATATATATATATATATATATATATATATATATATATATATATATATATATATATATATATATATATATATATATATATATGTATTTTATAATTATATATATATATATATATATATATGTATGTATTATAAATTCAAATTATGGGTCTAATAGGTAAAAAAATGTTGGTGCTATAATGACCAATTAAAATTAAGTAGTAGATGAATGGTGATCCCCCCTAAGGAATGCATATCGATCACCAATGACATTTTGGAAAACTCCAGACCTGCACTAACACCACTCGTTAGGGGATGCTAATACATACTAAATGTATGTAGTCCCACCTAAAATTATTTATTTGGTACAAGTGCTAAATAATGGTGACATTCAAAAAGATATGTAAAGCTTACCAACAAACTCTTAGGTGCTTGATACATGCGAGGGAACGTTAATTGTTTTTTGAAATGTTTCCACCCACCCTACGCTTATTAAGATGCCCCCCCCCCCCCCCCTGTTTAATAATTTTTACTTGTTATTAACAAAAAAAAAAAACATCTTAAAACTTAAAAAAAAATCAGAAAAAATATCAGTCACTGATAAGAATAAAAATTTTCAGTGTGATTATTATAACTAGACCTCGTTAGAAGTCATTGACTTTAAAAAACCTTAAAATTTCTATTTATCAAAATTTTTTATGCTGATTAAGAATCGTATAAAAACATGTCTGAAAATCAACAGAAAGTGCTCTAATTCAATGTTGAAATTTAAAAAATTACACTAATATTCGCCATTTTTAAAAATTTTTTTTTAATAAATAGGGATTGGCGTACATGATTAGTAAGTTAGTTAGGGTTAGGGTTTGGGCAAGGGATAAATTAGAAAATGATGCGCTCAGCATTTTTTAATAGTTTTGCTTTAAAACTGTTGATAGAAACCAGGCTTTTTAAAAATATCTCTCAAAAGGAGTTTAATTATAACCGAGAATGAAAAAATGGCAAATATTAGCGGTTTTTAGGGAAATTTTTTAAAATTCAACATCGAATTAGAGCACTTTCTGTTGATTTTCAGACCTTTGTTTTTATACGATTCTTAATCAGCATAAAATTCTCTATCATAATCAGTAATAAAAAAAGAGGGGGAAGAAACTGCAGTAACACCTTAACCATCTACACAAAAACGCAGTATTTGACCGTCCTTTGCTTTAGTAGTTGACCATTAGGGTTATGACTTTTTATCAACCCCATAATCCTGTACTGTAGTTTGATGAACCTTTACCTAAAAAGCACGAAATGAACTGTTATTTGCATACAGGGCCGCCGAGAGCTGTCACGCCGCCTGGGTCAGCAATCCTGACAATTAGAGCCCTTATTTATTAAATTTTCCCTATATTATATATGAAGGACTTTTTTTAGGTACCTACATTTTATTTGGCGCCCCTTAAATATCTGCCGCCCGGGACAAACTGTCCCTCGCGACCCCCCTCTCGGCTGCACTGTTTGCATATCTTTTCAAAAACGCCATGGAAAAATCGATTTTGACATAATGTATCAAAATGTATTTAGAATGTCATAGTCATGTTATACAATAAATTTTCAATTTAACAATGGCTCAGACTGACCTTGCTCTTGCTTATTGATAGAAGGAATCGAAGGTGCAATTTGTCTTTATTTTTGCATGATGAATAAATTTCCTCCATTACTTTGATTACGCGATTTGCGCATTGATTACTTCTGAGTATCTGTAGTATGGATGGCTCTCGCTTTCAGTGATTTTTCAAAGAACTAAAAGTCTTTTTGTATGGATTCAGTATTTCAGCCAAGTTATTAAAGTCGTTTTTGTTGTACAGTTGGTCTGTAAACCAATGCTGCCCAGCCATACGATATAAATCGACATAAATCGACTCTCTGCAGCTGTCCTTGTGAAATGAATTAAAATGAAGGCCAGGACCGCTAGCATATCTCTTGAGTTCCACCTCACATTGCTGATGTTGGGTATTTTCTAAAACCTGATCAATGGAAAATGTCCCTTTTCCTCAAAAAATCGGAACACTCAGTGAGACGAAACAAAAATTTCATATCATATCTCCAGCCTGATGTTTTAATAATTACTTCTGTTCCGTTATCAAACTGTGTTTTTATTTGTTCGTACTTCTTCAACAGTTGAAATACAAATAGATATTCAATGTTTGGCAATTGTGCTTTACTTCCAAGTTCTTCATCCTTCACCAAACGGAGGATTCTATCTAATACATGGTGTTGACAACTGATAAAGTGAGGTTTGTTGATACATTCTGTGAACATTCGTTGCATTATTACCACAACACCATTCTTTTTTCCAGTATTAGCGCTGGTGGTATCTGCAACAATCATCTGTATTGAATTCCATAGGTGAAATTCATTGAGGACTTTAGAAATTCCTTAAGCAATGTTTAAAGCCCTGCCATCTACCAAGCCAAGGAGATCCAATTCGCCTTCTCTTCTTTCATTTTTAAGGACGACCATAACTTGATAATCCATTCTGTCGATGTGCTTGCCATCAAAGTGTAAGAACCAACTTTCCATATGCAACTTTTCAATCATTTCTTTATTCATTTTGATCGCCTCTTTGATTGCTGACTTTTAAATAGCTGATTGACATGAAGTTGGGATATCAATGTCTTCACGAGCCGATTGCTTGCATATGTTAGCAGCTTTGTTTGTTGATACTCTTGTCGAGGTCACCAAGTCACTGCAATTTTGTTTTTAAGATGTTTTCTGCTTGGTGTAGGAGTTGTCTCATCTTCTTCGTTGTTTTCATATTTACTGTCGTCAGCCTGTCAGAATCACGAGAACCAGGATAGTAAGATGATGAGTTGGTTGACTAATTAGAAAGTTTTTGTCTTTTAGAGGGATGGATTGTTTCTATGGATACTCTACTGGCCACTTGGCCTGTAGAGTATCCCACTGTTCCTTTGCTTTCCACTTGGAGATGATACAATCGCTTGTCCTCAGAAGATAACCATGTTCCATCCACTTTAGTAATATCAAAAACTATATCAATGGGCTCGCTTGACACATTCATCATAACATTTCAGTATTTTATCAAGCTTTAATTGTATAACTTGATCAGATAAATGAGGAAAATTTAGTTTATTCTTCCACAATTTGGTGACTTCTTTGGAAGTTTTCGCTATTCGCTCCTTTCTTCCTTTGATTTTTGTTTCAAGGAAATGGTAGAGTCCGATAATTTGCTTTTGGAGAGGTATTCTGCACTTTTCTTCCAGTGAATGTTCTTCCAAAGAGACCATTCTTCTTCTTTTATGAGAGTATTCAAATTTTACCAGATTATAAGTCCAGAGATCCTTGTTCTTCTGAATGCTACTATCGCTAGGCTTGTACGACGCCATGTGTTGCTTCTGTAATAGTTATAAAATTAGATGAGCAACTATATATAGTCAAAAGTGTTCTACAATATTCCAGAATGTTCTAAATTGTTCTAGAATGTTCCAAAATATTTTAAATTGTTCTAGAATGTTCTAAATTGCTCTAGAATGTTTTAAATTGTTCTAGAATGCTCTAAAGTCTTCTAAAATATTCTGTTATTTTCCAAAACGCTCTAAAGTTCTAAACACTTCTAATCTATACAAGTTTTAAATGATTTTCAGAAAAGCCACACGTATTAGAAGTAGCAGTAACAAGACTAAATAAATGACGAAACGTAATTTGAATTGCGGGTTGAGCTTTTTTTAAAACCGAGAGGAATTAAACATGTTTTCAATGTTTTCTAATAAAAGTTCAACGATTTACGACAGGAAATTTTTTTTTTTTAAAAGTCAAAAAGTCATAACCCTATTGACCATATGTTAAACGAGAGAAAAATGAAAGCCGTGATAATTTTTTTACTTTAATTCAGGTAAAATACAAAAATTTATTAAAAATGAAATGTGGAGTAAGGGTTCATTTCTGGTATAAGGTGTTAGTGCCTGAGCCAGCGCGAGTAATGTCACGTGGGGGGGGGGGGGGGGGAATGCCATTACAATTTTTGCCGACTGAAGGAAGAAGAAAAAAAAAAGTCCTTTTTTTTTAAAATTTGCCGACAGACTGTCTAAATTTACCAACTGACTTGTGGAAAAGGGTCAAATATGTCGATTAAATGATCGAAAAAATCATTGATGGGGGGGGGGGGTCACAACTCATCGCGTCGGCCTTGGGTATGACTCATGTCGAGAATGCAACAAAGACAAAATTTTAATTTTTATATATTTTTTTTATGTCAACAATTACAAAATTTTATTACATATGAAATGACGAATAAACGTTCATTTCCGCTATAAGGTATGATCCACGTCGAAAACACAAGTTTGTATTTGCCCCCTTAAATATACAAGTTTATCTTCTTTATCAGGCCAACAATAAAAAGAAATTCGACTCTGAACCATTGTGGCTATCTTGTAGCCATTGGCCTCAACTTACACTACTTTCCCCAGAAAATAACTCCATTTATACTCTACAATTACAAAGTCATCCGTTTTCAGCGTAATAAATCTTCATTTAAAGAATATTTATACCATTCAAAATCTTCAGCATCGCTCAGGAATAGAAATAGATGAGTCTGAATCATATTTCCTTTTATTTAATTTTTTCTTACTTTTTTTTCTTTTTTTTTCTTCTCTTTCATTTTTTCTTCTTTCTTTTCTTTTCATCTGCTCTTTCTTGTTTCAGTCTTTCTATTTCGTTTTTTTTTTCGAATTTCTTTTGGAAATACAATTGACCAAGTTCCCCAGACACTATAGAGGGTATTCTTTCTTTTGGGATTTTTTTTCTGTGGCTTTTTCTTGAAAACAACAAGGGTACAGAATCTATATTTTTTAAACGGAGATGGTTTACTTGACTTGTCAGCGATTGCAGTATCTTCATTTTTTTTCAACTATGGGAGATA